AAATCTTACTTAATTTGTGGAAGAAAATTTGAAAATATTATTCTTATTGAAAGCCTTAGCTTCTCTTCTTCTCATTTTCTTCCTCTTTCTTTCTCTCCCTTTTTTTTACTTATTCTTTCCTTCTTCATTTTCCTTTTTTTTCTTCTTCCTTTTTCCATATTCTTTTCTTTATTTTCCTTCTTTATTTTTCTATGATGATCCCCCTATTCCTGCTCTGTTTCCTTGTATCGAGAGCCCATATTCCATCCAATTTGTAATATAGCTGGTAGAAGTAACAATCTTGCCATTTCCATTTTGGGAAGGGTAATAATTATAATAGTCCACTTGGATTTTAGTTCATAATTTGACAAGTTTTACATTGGCTACATATTCAACTACTTCGTTTTTCATGCCTTGCCACCAAAATATTGACTTCAAATCTCTTTACATGCATTTTTGTACTGCCTATATGAATGGTTCACCTTGAGTGATGAATTTCTAGTAAAATTTTTTTGCTCAAATTTGAATCACCAGATACTCATAGAGGTAGTTTATTCTTAAAACTCTATCATCAAATGTAATCTCTTACAACTTTCTTGAATGAACTTGTTCAAATAACTTTTAATATATATTGTTGGTTTTTTTGATTTTCTTTAATTTGGTCCATTAAAGTTTGTTTCATAATCAACTGATGCAAAACACTTGTATAGTTAAATCTTTTGACCTCTCATTGTAAATATTCTATTTATTTGGTTAATTTAGACTCTTGAGTAATCATCCAACCTACAATACTTGTAGAATTTCAACTTAAAGAATTTATTATAATATTTTATTATCCAAGACAATACTATATATGAATCATAGTCTTTAATTAATTCTAGTCATCTTCTTTGCCTAAATTTTAATTCATTATTTGTAAAAATATTTTTCAAACTCTAATGATTACTAAATATCTCACATTCCTCTACAAAAAATAGCGTCTCCAAAATTTCAAAGCAAAGGTTACTGCTGTCATTTCTAGATCATTAATTGGTTAATTTCTTTCATGTGATTTTAAATATCTTGATGCATATACTATTACCTATCTATTCTTCATTATGACACATCTCAATCATTCAAAAGATATATAACTATAAATCTAAAATCCTTGTGCTCCTGATGGGATAGTTAATACTAGTGTAATTGTCAAATATCTTTTTAATTATTAAAAACTATTTTCATATTATGTTGTCCATTCAATTTAACATTTATTCTCAACAGTCTGGATAATTACATAGCTATATATGAAAATCCCTTAATAAATCTCCTATAATATCCAACTGATCCCAAAAATCTATAAACCTCAGTGGCATTCTATGGTGTAGGCCATTCTAATTTTTCTTTGACCTTTTAAGGATCCACCAAAATTCCTTTACCACTGATTATATGTCCAAAAAATGTAACACTTCTTAGCCAAAATTCACAATTAAAAAATTTGGCATATAATTACTTCTCCTCAACAGTTCTAATAATGTCCTCAAATGTACAACATGATCTTCATCAATCTTAGATTATATCAAATAATAATCATTGAATATGATCACAAATTAGTTTATTTCTGATTTAAAAATTCAATTAATCAAATCCATAAAATAGCAGGAACATTCGTTAACCCAAATTTTATCACTAGAAACTCATAATAATCATACCTAATTTTAGAGGCTATCTTGGCTACATTTGCTTTTTTAACTCTGACTTGATGATATCCTGACTCAAATTAATTTTAGAAGACCTTGTAGCATTGGTAATGAATATCTGTTCTTGATAGTTACTTTATTAAACTCTCTTTAATCAATGTGCACCTTATAAATCTATTTTTCTTCTTTACAAAAAGTATAGGTGCACTATGAGGAAAATTACTTGATCTAGTGAATCCCTTATCTATTAATTATTGTAGCTGACATTTTAATTATTGTAATACCTTAGAAGACATTCTTTAAGAAGATGCAAATATTGCTAATGTTTCTGGTTGTAGTTTAATCCCGAAATCAACTTCTCTTTTAAATGACAATATTGGTAATTCGAAGCATTAGGAAAAATCAATATAAATGGAATACTCTTTATTTTCAAGAGTATCTTTATTTAAAATTTAAAATCTTCAGTAAAAATACCAACTCATAACTTCTCATCCACTTATTTACCTTTAATGCTCTAGATAGGGAAAACATCACACGCTTATTATAGAAAAAGTGAAACAATTTATTATTAGGCAAATCAAACCTTACGCTTTTGTCCTAACACTCATTTATAACAAAATATCAAGCTAAATATTTCATCCTAGAATAACATCAAAAGTCACATAGGTTTAAAAATTAATTTTGCCCTTAGTTTTCTAAACTAAATATTAATTTCTACAATGCAATTTCTATTTACACGTAGATGGCACCATAATACATAATTCATGTATGAAAAACAAAATTTTAACAAATAGACTAATAGTAAAAATTTTCAAAATAAATGAATGTAAAGACCCAAAATCAAATAGAATAATATCAATGACTGGAGATCAAAAGTGTACTTGAAACTTGTTCTTTTGATTTGCTAGCCTCTTGAGGTGTCATGGTAAAAACTCTTATTTTTATGGGTTGTGTGTTCTTATTTTCTAATATTCTCCTTTCATATGAACATATGGCTTTCCATAAAATTGGCCTTACATGAATTCTTATTGCCTTGCATTTTTTTTTGTTGAACTTATCCCTGATACCCTTATAGCTTGCTGATTTTCTTCTCTAAAGGGCAATTTTTTTGTGATGCCCATTTTCTCCATACATATATCATTTTTCAAAACTAAAAACATTTCTTTCCACAATGTTGACATAAGAGTTATTCAGGATGAATTTGCTTCTACTTGTTATTAAATTTAAACATCTTATTTTTTAAATTATCTCCTTTATCAAAGTTTCTTTTTTTACCCAACTATTACTATGATTCTGCTTTATATGACTCAACCAATTTTTAATTATTTTGACTTTCTACCAAACTAAAAATTTATTGATATCAAAAGGAGCCAAAGCTAGTCACAATTGATCACTAAGGCCTCTTAAAAATCTATGATAAATTTCTTCTTGAGTATTGACATAATAATGAGCATATCTGGATATTGATGTGAACATTGCTTTGTATGACATGATAGTCTTAGAACTCTCAGTCAAATTGAAAAAAATATTATCTCGTAGTGCAAACTTAGTTGATGTTTGAATAAATTAGTCTTTGACAACCTTTACAAAACCATCCCGATCAATCATTGATAGCAGTGTCATTCCAAACTTCTCCCTATAAATAAAGATTGCAAGTATTACTCTTCTATTACTTAGGAAATTATATTAGCTAAATTTTTTCTAATTTTTAGCAGACTGTCCTCAATAACAATGGGATCACTTGCTTTTTTAAGTGTTGGTAGTTTGAAAGTCTCAAATATTCTCAAATGTTGGTCTACTTCATTAATAAACATAGATCTTAATTGGCTATTGGAAGAAGATTTTTTAATAGATGCTATTTTCTCAACCACTTGAGAAATCATAATTACATTATCATCTAACTCTTTGGGACTTGTTTTTTTTTTTTAAAAAAAATTCAAAATAGCTCTTTTATTTGACCTAAGACCCTTGTATGAAACATATAACCCTCATCATATTAGGATTTATCCTATGGTCTTTTAGTGTGGGGGTCCTTTTAAAGTGGAGATCCAAGCCTATGATTGCTTCATCAATCTTGTTTAGTGTATCATTGATGCAATGTTAAATAATGCATGAGATATAATGCCATAAATTAAGTGAGAAGTGAAAAATATTGAGACTTGATCTTATAGTTTACAAACCACCACACCTAAGCTTATTATTACTACTCGGTTACACATTTGACACTCCATTCACATGCACATTATTATAATTATTGAAGCTAGTGCAAACTTTTTAGATATTTAAAAACTATCATCATCATTAGATATTGTTGTGCTATCTTGTTAATGCAATCATGTGAGTTGTAGTGCCTCAATTTTTTAGGTTGGAACATTGTAACCATTTTAAAGTTGTAATATATAAGGTCTACCAATGGAGTATTGCTATGGTAGCTTTCATTTTTAAAAAGGAAGCTTAAACTACATATGTCTCCTCACAACCATTGACTTTCTCTTTTATTATATCCTGACATTATTTCCTTAGATTTTCCTCCTTTATGATGTTTAGACCCAATACCACCATATGCAACATCTAACCCTCATTATATTGGGATTTATAATCATATGGGCTTTCAGTGTGATGTGGGTTAGGCTAAAGCTGAGTCTCAAGCTTGAGATCACTTTATAAGTCTTATTGAATTTATCATTGATGCAATGGTAACTAATACATGAGATGTAATGCCAAAAATTCTCCAACACAAGGAAAAATACAACAAGGTTATCTTATAGTTCACAAACCACCACACTTGAATATATTATTACTACTTGTTTAAACTTTCAATACTTCATTAGCATGCACATTATTAAAATTTTGATGACTATAACTTTGTGTTATCTTTTTTAGCTATTTAAAGACTATCATTATCCTTCTTTAATACGACTATTATCACCTATCTCATGATGCCCCCTCAAAACTTTCATATTTTCTAGATAATAAATGTTTTAATCTCATAAAATTTTACTTATATATTTTTCATAAAATAATATCTATTTAAAATTTTACCTTCCATTTTATCATGATGATATTATGTTTATTGAAGCCAAGTTCATGAGTGCAAAGCATTTATCTAAATAAGATAAAATGTTTCATGACAATTGGTTAAAAAGAAGAATAGTCTTTGTTCGAACTTATGAATTTGAATGATATATCTATAAAGCAAAAAAAAAAAAAAAAAAAGGATGAGGGAAATGGGCTATGCGGAAGAAAACCAAAAAAAAAAAAAAAAAAAAGGATGAGGTAAATGGGCTATGCGGAAGTAAACCAATAAAACGACCTAAAGATTAAAAAAAAAATTCAAAATATTAAAAAAAGAATTAAAAAAATTAATTGAACCATGAAGTCCACCTGAAAAAGGAAGAGCCGAGGAAAGTCCAGTTCCTGTTTCCTATCTGCTTTCTTTTGCTTGTCCGCCACCAAATCTAGAGCCGATAGAAGCCGCACGTTGCCGGATTGCTACCGAAGGTAATCGATTTACATCTTCTGGAGTTTATTTTCTTCTTCTGTCACCCTATTTTATTTTTCAGTCGTATGTTTTCAATTTGATTGGAAGCAAGGTCATCTTTCCACTTTGAGTTCATGTGATTGGGTTCTATCCATGATTCTTGGTTTTCTTGATGCTCCACTGAATTTGTATCGTAGGTTTCGATCCTGAGGGATTTCTGGTTTTCTTGCGGGGGTAGGGAATCTCTTTTTTTCTTCCTTTCTGCCTTGTTGATGCTATCCATTGAGGGATCTGTTTTTTCTGAGCTTGATGAGGTTAGAAAATAGAGTTTTTAATTGTTTTTTTTTTTGATGGATTGATTAACGTTTTTTATTGGGTTTTGACCCGATTTTGGCGAGTATCTGCTTTTTTTAGTCTCCCAGGAAATCAATCTTGGCTTCATTTTGCAAGGTTTCTCCTTGGGATGAAATTTGCATAGATCTTCCGTTTGTGTGATATGCAGTTTCAGCTGTGTTTCGAGTTTTCTTAGACTTCCCATTATATTACTAATTTTGTTGTGTTCTTGGCACTCCATCTGCAGAGGTTGAACAAGAGTTGAAATAAGAAGATTGGAAATGGCTGATGATCTGGTCACCCGATATTGGTGTTACATGTGTCGGCAAAGAGTGAACCCAGTCATGGAGGTGGAACCTAAATGCCCCTTCTGTGACAGTGGGTTTGTGGAAGAAATGGATGGAAGGGAAGTACCTGAAACTGAAGACGTGGGATCTGAGAGAGTCCTTTCTCCATGGGCTTCTATCCTACTAGGGATGATGGCTAATCCTTCTCGTCGTCGCCGTAGCAGGAGGATTTCGAGGATTGAAGAGAATGATGACTCTGATCTGGACCGTGAGCTGGAATCCACTGCACGGAGACGGGGTAGGGAGTTAGAGGAAGAAGAAAGAAGGATGGGTAGGGAAGAGGAGGAGAATGAGTCGGATACTGAGCGTGAATTGGACTCCATTGTACGAAGGAGAAGGCGGAGTACAGCCATACTTCAATTGCTTCATAGCCTTCGCGAAGATTTTAGGTCGGATTCTAATGATGTAGAGAGGGAAAGGGAAAGAGAACGGGATAGACATAGTCTGATCCTAATTAATACTTTTAATCAGGCTATTGTTCTCCAAGGATTCGTTGATTCAGATCAAAACCAAAACCAAGACTCAAATAGTGCTGCTTTTGGTGCCTCCATTGGAGATTACTTCATTGGATCAGGACTGGATTTACTGTTGCAACATCTAGCAGAAAATGATCCAAACCGCTATGGCACTCCACCTGCCCAGAAAGAGGCGGTGGATGCGATGCCTACTGTAAAAATTGAGGAGGATATAATCTGTCCAGTCTGTTTAGAGGACTTTAAAATCGGAATGGAAGCTAGGGAAATGCCATGTAAACATTCTTTTCATTCTGGATGCATTTTACCATGGCTGGAACTCCATAGTTCTTGCCCTGTATGTAGATTTCAGTTGCCTGCAGATGAAACTAAGAATTCAAGCGGGACAGCTGATGGCAGTAGATCAGGGGGGAGTGGTAGGGATGGTGGTGTTGGAGGGAGGAGGAATAGATCAAGGGCTTCGACCTTGTGGCCATTCAATGGATTGTTTTCATTTTCAGGTTCTCAGAGTGATGGGAATCCTTCCTCAGCCTCTGCATCTTCTTCATCTACATCTGATCACAATTCCCCCGCAAATGAAAATTAAAGATGTTTCTTTAATGCCCTTATTCTACCTATCGTTATTGTATCTTACTTCGTGTACATATTGTTGTAATTCCATATATCATATTATGGAATATAAAACCAGAAAGCCTTTTTTTCTTCAGTTTTTCTAAACTTGCAGACTTATTCGTGTTTGGAGGTGCTAGGTTTTAATGTTGTGACTTATCTCATGCATTTCCACTTATCTTTATAATGGGTCTGTTGGTTTACAGAACTTAGAAGTTTTGCTTGGTTGATAATATATGAAAGAAACATGTATTTTACTTAATGATCTACTGACATTTAATTGTTTACTTCACTGGGACTAATGTAGTTTTTCTTGCCCTGGACTTTGCAGACAAATTTGGAGGATGCTTACGCCAAATAAGTTTAGTTCTGAGCAATGAAGAGGTAAATAAGAATATTATCAGCAGGGAAGGTAAGTATAAAGATTATCAGTTCTTTGACTTAGGGTTGAACAGTTCATGCTGTCTAAATTGCTATTTTACTTGAAAGCATCATTACATTACATTCTTGCGTTTCTGTGCAACTAATATTACTAGCTGCTAAATTTTATACCTTATGCTCAGTATATTGTTAGATCCTTCTTAAGCTATAGATAGTGTGCCCTTCAAGTTGTTCTTTTTTTTCCATATGTATAATGCCTGAATATTAATTATTTGAAAAAAATATATTTTTATTTCTTAGCAAAGTACAAAAAATATAGGCATATTTAAAACTTTGATATCATAAAATATTTTTTTTTATTACATTCCCATATTTTTTGAAAGATATTACTTTTCAAGTTTTGCTTTGACATATTGAGAGCACATCAAATATAAATTAATTTTGTATATTTTTAAGCTTTCCCTCTTGTATCTGGTCAATACAATTTCATAATTCACACAATCATAAACTTTATTTAATACTTGCTAATGTTATGTGTACTTCACTATTTGGACTTTGAAATTGTCAAAAGTTAAATTAAGATTTTGTTTGGGACGACTTTCTTATTGCTTCTTAAAACAGTTTTTTTTAGTACGGAAATAAAATTTGATCACCTTGTGCTCTTGCTTAAATTTTATTTCAAGCTTCTTTTTCTAATACCTTGTTGCTCCTCCACTTTGACATATTGAGAGCATATCAATTGACAAATTTCTCCAATGACAAGGAGTGAAGGGCTGCCCATTTTGGAAGAATTGAAAAGGGTAAGGTTACTGTTTGTCTCTTTTATTTGAAGAGCATGTTTGCTTCACATGTCATTGTACATAGCAATTATTCTTCAATGCAACACAAAGCTCATTTAGACCCAATGAGCCTAGAAGCCATGTTGACCCTCATACCAAAAATGCGCGAAAAGAGAGAAATTTGGCTACTCAAGTGACGGTTGGCAGATGCGATACGTCAATTAAAGGGTCAAACGACCTTTAATCGCCAAATGGATTGCGCCGTTGCTATTAGAGCGTCGAATTTGCCTAAGAGGGAGCCCCTCACAGTCAAAAAGTACGGAAAATGTCAAAATTGATGTCCAACACCTGAAGTTGACACGTGACGCTATCCAAATGACGTCTGATCGCAAAACGGACTTCGCCGTTGGGTTCAGAATGTTTGCATCACCCAATATTGACTTTAAATTTGTTCAATGAAAATCATGCGAGGAAATCGTCTCACATCTAGAGGCATAATTCACATATTTTGAAAAATACATGCGCAAATCGAGGGATCAACATGCAAAATTCGAGGCATAAAAGTTTTTGATTTTTTTCTATAATTTTAAAAACAATAATATATTATTATTATTATGATGATTATTATAAAAAAATCCAAACTAACCTTGCATCCCGTTGAAATCTCTGCTCAAATCCTCAAAATCCCGCAAAAAATCCCTCGGCGCTAACGACGTCTTCGCTTCTTGTATATCCCTCGTCTCGATCGCATCCCCGTTCCCCCTGTCATCATTGATAAAAGAAGAGCTAAACAGCTCTTTATTTTTTCGTTTTTTACGAAACCACAGCCAGATTCCTTCTTTCTTGCAGTTATAGGAAGATCCGATCGACTCAAATCCATACTCGTCAAGCCTTCCAACCCTCTTCACAATCCTTACCAAATACACGAAGTCAATCCTGCACTTGCGTTGAACTCCCTCAAGGTAGCTTCCTCCAAATTGACGATCACAACCACAATCAACTCTCAAACCAGGCGCACAAACCACTGCCTCTGACCCCAATGTGTCCCTCACTCTTCTGACCTTCAAGCGACCTCACCCTCTCCACCCAAGCCGAACCAGCCGGCGTCTCCCACGACCAATCTCCAACCTGCCGACTGTCCGTCAATTCCAATCGGCCACTTCTCTACTTCGATCGAATGCCCCTTTCCGATCTCTAGGTTCGATCCAATTGTTCTATTCTCACCTGACTCCTGCACTCTCATGTTGCTGTCAATCTCTTCTCTTGTTTCTGCCGAACTGCACCACAAACAAAACTATTCACTACCATAGCTGAATCAGAGCACCCGATCTCCCCTTTCTCCTACCTACCAGCAAACTAAATACCCATTCAATAAACCACCTCTGGTCCACCTACAGCTCCTCTCAAGCCGCCTCAAAAGCCCTCTATTCCCTCTACTAAAGTTGACATCCTCTCCCATCACCTGCATTACTTTCCTCTTCCCCACCAACTAAGCATCACTCCATCACAACGACAACGTTTTCTTTTTTGCTTTCCTTTATTTACTATTAACCATTTTTATTATTAGTATTTTTAACTAATATCATTAGTTAGCTTTATTATTGTCATTATTGTCAAAAAAAAAAAAAAAAAGAAAGAAAAAAAGAGAGAAAAGTGAAACAACAACTTTAAGTACCCGTATATATGCCTTCATGCATGTGGGGAAAAGACTGTTTATGTAAAATAGGTACTCCCCGAGGACTCAAATACGTCTTTCTCTAGTGTGGTGGGATTGAAGATCATGGCTGTGGTGTCTTCTGACAACTACCATACAAGCTTTTCTCTTGCATGGTGGGAATGCTTAACTATCGAAATTTCTCCTAAATGGGGGATACGTCGGGAGGTTGCCAAAATTCTGACTGAAACACATAGTACTTAAACAAATAACAGGGTACCTGGATTTAAACAAAATGTAGTGAACTTGATTTCAGCAAAATCCATAAGGAACATAGCTTAAATTGAACAACATGGAATTAGACTTCAATGAACACCTAAAATAAAAATATAACTTGCAAAAGAGCAAAAATCAAGCAAGAATAAGCAAACAAATGATTCAACATGACTCCAAGCAATGAAATTAAGGGGATGCATAATTTGCTTGCAAACAGATGTACAACATCTCTAAATAATATTGTAAATTGCATACAAATGATGATAGTTGAGGTGTAATGCTCACATCAGTCACAAAATAATTACAGTAATCCCTGCAAGCAATAACAATAGATGTTTTGCAAGGATGACAGGTCCTCTATGAACGCAGATATACACACAATGTATCATCTACAGATAGAGAGAACATATTTGCAATGCATACAAACGCCTACATGCCATTGCAAGAAATCCGTCATCTATATGATACATTATATACAAGTAAGTACAGGAAGAGCCACAATGAAAGCAAGCACCTGTAGACAATGATAGTTGATATGAAAGGAATGTGGTAATATATCTACCAACATATACAGGACGCTTACGATGAACACAATAGCACGTTCATGAGCAAAGTATGAAAAAGATGCAACAAACAAATCAATCTCCCTACAATATTGACTTGTAAATAAGTGAATCATCCCATGTGAACATTGAAAATTAATAGAGAATGAATGCAGTGACTCACTAGCCAATATGGGTGAATAGGTTAGTGATGGATGTAGGTCATTGATAGTCAACAACAATATGCAAATGAACACACTAGCTTATATGGAAAGGATAATGGTAGATACGTTGAGGGTATGGCGGCTACCCTACAAACATATTAAAGGAGATTGCAACAAAAGCAATGACATGCTCATGAATAAAACATGGAAGATATACAATGACTATAACAAGTTCCTTATAATCAGCACCAATTTGCAAGAAAACATATCAAACCTCTGCAAGCCATGGTGATCAGCATGAAATGATTGCAAAGATGTCCTCACAATCAACGTCAATTGAATATCTAACAAACACTAATCCCCTGTAAGAAAAAATGATTGATTTGCAACAAACGCAAGCACCTACAAATTACTGTAGAAGACCCGTCACACTATATATCATCTACAAGTCAATGTATGAGACCCATCAACGCAAAATATCTCTTTTGCAAAAAGTAGCAAACAATTCATAGTGTAGCATTACACCGTCGGATCCACAACATTTGTACAAGCCGACAAAAGGTGTCCACAGGCTCCTAAATAGAACATCATGCATCCTTCATCATTTGCATAATTTATCATGTTTGAATATTGCAAAACCCACCCTCCCTTATTCATTGAAACATGCATTAAGAACATGCATACACATTTCATAAATATTTTGGAATGCATGTAAAGTATACACATATTGCAACATACAAAATATCATGCAAATATATAATGCACTATAATTATGCATTAAGCCACTGCACTACATACCAACATATCATGCATACATGATTAAGCAACATGCAAATGCAAAATACTAACATACATGCATATATGTAAGTACACAATTATATACACGAGTATGTTAACAGACAAATATGTCATGTACATCTGCTGCACTGCATACACATAGCTACTACATAAACACATTTTGCAAATGCATTCAAAATTATATAACCGTATGGGCTCGGACAAGCGTGATATATGCACATACGTGATGTCTGAGGATGCTACACAGATCAATTAATGAATTTAAATTCGAGTCCGATCCTTTTATGTGAATAGATATGAGTCGAAACGGCTCAAACAATCAAACAAATGTACGGTCGTGGCACCTATCAATACATTTATTTTATACGTTCATATTAGGCCTTCAAGATCTATTACAAGAAAAATTTACTAATAAATTCCTAAAGCTGATGAAGAACTTAATCCACTATTGGGAAGTAGACATAGTTGACAAGGTTTGACCAATAAAATGAAATTACCTAAAAACTCCAATAATGACCGTGTTGACAGAAAATCTCAACCGGAGAGGACCCCAAACATTCTAAATGCCTGCAAATTCTCATAAAATATATTCAATTGACTTTAATGTATTCACAAACATCGCCAATATTTAAAATTGAAATAAAACACCTAAAATACTTAAAATAAAAATTCATCCATTCTTCGCAATAGTTTATCGAGGTGGACAAATATGAAAATTACTTCAGCTTATAAAGAACAAATGTCTGGTTGAGAATATCACTACGATTCATTTTGAAACCATCTCTTGCCAGTAATGACGTGACACGTGTCCTTTAACTGGTGGTTTTGCCGCCAAATGATATTACAGGTAAACGGTTATAATTGGGACTCTCTGATCGAGCTGTATTGACACCAAATGGTACCATTAAATTACGATTATGGTCAGAGCCTGTATGTTCCCCAACGACGCTAAATCTTTGAGTAATGAATCTATAGGATATGATCGATAGAGCACAAAGCCCTATGTTAGCTATGGTGGATTAAGATCTATCCCCTTTGGCAAATATGCACCTCAAGTCTACAAGGTACCCTTTGACGAAGCAAACCATGACTGCTGACAAAGATCCTTCTATCAGGTTGGTTCGACTACGTCCTCTAACTAAGTAGATTAAGGGCCATGATGACTTGGGAAGACGGAACCATGGGATCTTGATCGGGTTTATCATCATTCCCCCTACCATCCATTTTAAGTGCAATGTGATGAATTTCTTATTTTAAACATTAAATTTTCAAATACCTAAACATGTTGCTACTATATACTAGGCACTATATTTGTTTGACGACTAGCCTTAATCGAAAGTTCTCTCTCGCTATCGAGAGGGGAAATTAACTATAGGGATTTGCGCCTATAGGAAACCTAAACTAAGATCATATAGTCCTCACAAAATGAGGGTGAAATCTCTTGGTAATGTCTTATTTAAAGCCCAATCTGCCTTCTAAAATTTTGCCTCGGAACCTAAACGTTAAAACTCTCCTCGACGATTTGAAAATAAAGCAAGGGGGGCTGCAGAGAGGCTGGGGCGCTAATTTTTGAACCCACAGGCCAATCTCTCAAGAGTGAGATGACTACCACTGAAACTTTGCTATAATTTGGCAGTAGAAGGTAGCTTTTCTTATCCCATGCGGGAACTCCTTTAAGCTTATCCTTTTGAAGTTGAGAATTATGGGCAGCTATCTAAGTTAACAATTGATAAACATTGCACCAATTGCTTAGTTCCCATTTGCTATTCTGATGCTTTGCGAGCTAGAGATTATGAGGATGAGAATAAAGGCAAGGGAGTGAGCCGTAGAGAGGCAAGTCATGCGGAGAGAACCTATGAATAGTAAATACTCCTTTAGCTTTCATTTGTATTGAATTTTATGCTTGTTGATTGTTTTTGGATAATAACTTCTAATTTATGTGTATTTGTGTTTAATTTGTGAATAATATTATTTGGACAAGTCCCTGCTAAGTTCTTATATCATTTGAAGCAATCTGCATGACTATTCATAGAAAATCAACGAACACATAGAGAGTTGGCCGGCAACTAAATGCGAGTCTGCAGACATATGCGAAAAGATAGTTTCGCAATTTCCTATCGTAATGTAAACTATACGTTTCGGTGGAAATATTCAAAGAAAGTATCTGACTTTTATTTCTGGTGGAAATGCTCAGGCCATTATCAGTTTTATAGTAGTTTAATGGTCTTTCTTTTGGTACAATTTGGTTGATGCTGTATTTTTGCAGTGCCGTGTGATTTAAAATCATAGTTCCCTTTTTTCGAACAGTTCATGTGTTATGAAATTGCACAGAAGGTTCAATAGCAAAGTGCTGAATGTTCTAGGCATGATTTTCATGTAATTTATAACTGTTTTTGCTAAAATTATAGAGGGAAAAAATAACTAATTGAAGCCTATTTGCTTGTTTGTAGACCTGTCAATTTCGGGTTATGGGTCGGGTTCGGGTCGAACCCGAAACTGATCTGGCACTATTCGGGTTCGGGTTGACCCGACCCGTTTTCTCAAACGGGTCGATTTTCTGGACCCGAACCCGACCTGCTTCGGGTTCGGGTCAACCCGACCCGACCCGCATACGCCGGATGCCGGACGTTGAACTGTCGGACGCCGGATGCGGAACTGTCGGCCGCCGGAAGCCGGACGTGGCGCGAAACTGCCGCGGTCCGCGGACATGGCATGGACGCGACCCGTGATGTCCTCAGGACGCGATGCGAGGCAGGCAGGCAGCCTCATGATGCAGCGGACGGGCAGGCTAGCTCTGGGCAGGCGGGCAGCCGGGAAGCGAGCAGGGTCACTCTGGGCAGATCGGCAGACATATTTGTGTGCATTCCGGGTCATTTCGAGTTGTTCCCAGGTTCCCGGGTCAACTCGAATCCGACCCGGTTTTTCAAACGGGTCGGTTTTTAGAACCCAAACCCGACTCGCTTCAGGTTCGGGTCAACCCAAATCCGAAATTTTTGGGTTGGGTTCTGGTCAGGTTTTTGGGTCGGGTCCAATATTGACAGGTCTACTTGTTTGGAATGGTTTTTTTATTTTTTTTTAAGAAAATAGTTTAATAAAACAAGACAATGAATTTGATATGTTGTTTTATTGAATTATTTTAAAAATTTAGAGAACACATGTTAGATGTTTTGTATGTTTCCAATTTAGATTTTTGGATTCTAGTAAAAAGCAAGTTTTGAAAACAGACAAAACGCTAAATCAGTAGGCCAAATGGCAGATAGTTATAAAGGAGGCAAAATAAATCTATACAGACAAAATCAAATCAGATGAAAAAACTAATATTATTTTAATATTCAATCATTTTTAATAGATTTCATTAATTTTTTTTTTAAAAATATTGTAATAATCTATTTATATTATTAATCATAATAGTAAAACATTTAAAATATAAGGTTCATAAGATTTTCTTACAAATTAAAATACTAAATTAATTGCATAAATTTAAACAGAAGTTTTATATTATTTATATTGAATTGCATGTTTTATTATGTTAATGTTTTTTTTTTTAAATTGTAAAAATATTATGTGCAAAACATTTTTTTTTTCAAGTAATAGCATTAAAAAATAAAATAAAATATAAATAATAAACATTTTGACAACTCAATAGCAGATTTGATTTTAAAAACCCCGAATCTCTAGAAATTATTAGGTGCGGAGTCCGCACGTAGAGATACGTTCAGACTCCAATAAAATGTTGACACGTGGAGTGGACCCGTGAATATTCAATTGAATTTATTTTTTATTTTATATATTTAATATGTCTGCAGAATCATGAACTAACATTTTGTAGCTCACTGTTATGAGTAGTATGATGGTTATTATCTGCCCCTTCTGCAAATGCATAGCTTTTTCTTCTTTCAGATAGCTTATTTGAATCTCTGGGCGTTCTACAATTCCTCAAAAGTTTATAAGAAAGCATCTAGAATTGCTACAAGAGGTGAAGTTTACCAACATATTCTCTTTTGGCCTTTGGGAAGTTCAATTCTATTAGCTTAAGGTTTTGTTTGGGACGACTTTCGTCTTGCTTCTTAAAGCAGCTTTCTAATTCAAAAATTAAGTTTGTTACACTAAAAAATTGTTTTATGAAGCTGTAAGAAAACTGACCCAATCGAAGCTTAAATTCTTAGAATGATATTTTGTCTAGTACGGCAAATCTTCTTTTTGCTTCATAGATAAGCTTGTTTGTGGCATAATTGGCTGCCAAGTGCTGACAATCTATAAAAAAGTTCATGCAGGCATCCTGATGCTAAAGGATGGTAGCGCTGTAAACCAAACTTGTATGGTGATTTCTGAAGCACCTGCTGCTGCATAAGAGTTGCATTTACTCCATTGGTAATCTTAGGATTTGCTTGGACGACTTTTTTACTGCTTCTTAAAACAGTTTTTTACTTCAAAAATTTTAATCTTTGTACTAAAAAAATGCTATAAATAGCCGTAATAAAGTCATCCCAAACAAAGCATTAGTTTTACCATTTTAATGTAGATAGGCTCATTAAAACATCTTTATCTTGATGTCATCCAGATTTTCATAGTAGAATTTCCAGTGAACTGAAGCCCTCACAATGGAAAAATTATTCGATGCGGAAAGCGCACTGTCTGCACAAGTACTGGGTACCTACCTATCGGTACCCAGCGGTACTGAATGCGGGTACCGCTAGGTACCCAATGCTTGTGCAAACGGTTCTTCCCGTCCGTACTCCGCACCTAATAATCTCTCCTCACAATGAAAACACGGGCGTTTCAAAATTCTACCCATTGTCTCAAATGTTATTGGTTACCTTCACTTGTTTGAAAATTCTACAAATTCAAGCCATCACAATGAATACACCACAAGCAAAACAACTAAAATAATAAGCTAAATACACCACACAACTGAACCTTTTTAAGTTAGTATATATAATGAAGCTTGTAAGTAAATAAAAGTGGAATACTCAACTTCACAAGCAAAACAACTAAATGCATTGACATCAAAGCTAAGCAAAGCAAATACAAATATACAAATGCAAAAAATATAGTGATGCTATACGTGAGAGATACTTAAACCTAAGTAATCTAATATACTTTACATAAAAGGAGCAATCAAAGCAATAATTACAAAGTTAACATACAATTCCAAGAAATTATGTAATATGTAATAAAGTCAATACACAATTATAAAGACAAATATTTTTAAGCAATTCAGCATCCAACTCGTTGGTCTTTGCGATTGTACCATTCCAATTATGGCTAAGCGTTTATTTGGGATAGTTTTTTTATCACATTATTTTTTAGATATAAAAAATAATTTCACGGGATTATTTTTTATCATTAAAAGAAAAAAGTGTTGAAAAAAATATTTTTTTACAACCAAAAGCACTATAATTTTGCAATCAATTTTATAAAATATTGCAGCAATCTTAAATAGGAGAAATTATTATGTGCGGAGTTCGGATGTAGCTTTGCATCTGGACTGCAATGAAATTGTAACACATGAATTGTATATGTGGATAATTAACATATATTTTTAAATTCTTGCGACCTGACAACTCAGCCCGGTTCAGAGATGAAAATTTTGAATTATCAGTATATAAAGAGCTGCGACTTCGATTCACTGTTCATCTTTGAACAAGCATAATCGTCATTCAGGTGCTCTGTTATCTTCTTAAGTTCATAATCTTCGAACAAGGTTAGCTTAGCATTCTCGTTCATTTTATCTTCAAAAATACACTTTTTTTTTGGCATTTTTCTCAAAATAGTTTTTAGGATTTAGCTAGCTAGGCTATCTGCTCACCAAATATAAGTTTAGAAACTTAATATTCAAAATTATCTAAAATTTTGATGATAAAGGAAGGAAATCACAAATCAATACAATATAATTTTTAACATAATGATAGAATTAAGTACCAAGAAAAGACCTTTGTATAAACTTAAATATTGCGTGAGTTATATATATATATATATATAGAAAGTAAGTTTAACGTTCTTAATTTAGATATTAATGGATAAAGTAATATAATTAAGAAAGAAAGAAAAATTCAATGCAATGCACGAAAAATTTAGAATTTTTTTAACTTAATAATATAAATATGTGCTCAATATCCTGATAAAATAAGTGCACGGTTCAAAAACATTTGTAGGCCAATTTTATTATGTATTCCTTTTTAAGACTATTGGTAAATCAAAGAAAATTACTTTGTAATGAATAATAGAAATAGAAAACACATACAGTAAGCTAATTCACCAATAGATTTTTCACTAAAAAATAATATGATTTACAAGAAAATGCCACATTTTTATGATTTTTTTTTTAAAATTTTAGGAAATTTAAATGATAATTTTAGTTATAATGGGAAGAACATGTTGGCGCATCCCTCTGAGTTAATATAGTGTCACACAAAAATCCATCGATAACTTTTCAATGTGAGAAGATTTGCCCCTATTTTTGTCAGAAAATAATAAAAAAAAATTATTGTCGTTAAAGTTTACTATAAAATTTCATTCTAATTTCAAATTTATTATCAAAAATTTAATATAGGCTTTGTTTGGGACAGCTTTCTTCTAGTTTTCTAAAGCAGTTTTTCAGTACAAAAATTTATAGTTTAAGAAAATTCGGCATTAACAAATTACTTTAAAAAACAATTAGGAAGTTGACCCAAATGAAGCATTAGTTATACCGTATCCATTGAGGTTCAATATAATATCTCTAGGCTTGAACTCTCATAGTATAATTTTGAAGCCCCAACTTCTCCTAACATAACCCTTAAATAGATAAAACATATTCATCATAATAAAAAAGAAGAGAAGCATTAATTATAAGGTATGAAATCGAAATTAGTGTGAATTGGCTATATGAATGAAATAATGACTACAAAATATGAAGAGGCGTAATCGATTTTTGTGTTGATTTTGTTGACAATGATATTAGTAGGGGTGTCAATTTCTGGTCACGGGTCGGGTTCGGGTCGAACCCGAAACTGACCTAACATTATTCGGGTCAACCCGACCCGTTCTTGAAAACGGGTCAATTTTCCTGACCTAAACCCGACCCGCTTCGGGTCCGGGTCAACCCGACACGACCCGAATGACTCGTTTCCAACAAAAAATTGCTAGTTTTCGGGTCAAAACGGGTCTATCTCCTCTTTTTCGGGTAATAAACGGGTCTATTTCCTCTTTTTCGGGTCAAAAATGGGTCAAAATCGGGTCAATCTCAAGTTGCCGGGTCAAAATCAGGTTTTCGGGTCAAAATCGGATCAAAGGGTTAACCCGAACCCGACCTGATTTTTGAAACGGCTCGAAATGTTGAACCCGAACCCGACCCGTTTCGGGTTCGGGTTGACCCTAACCCGAAATTTTCGGGTCGGGTTCAAGTCGGGTTTTCGGGTCGTGTCAAATATTAACACCCCTAGATATTAGGTTGTCATCATAACTACTTGATAATAACTCGATAGACCTTTTGTGAGTTCTTCTCAGCCTCAATAGATTTCTCTTAGCAACACATCAATCTTCTCAGGCTTTCCTTGAATGCTTAGTAATCTTAGATTTTAAGTTCTCTCAGCTTGTCTTGCATGGAACTTCTTGAATTACTTATCTCTTGATCACACACAATTCTTTTAAGTGACAATTTACTAATGCGAGTAAATCTGTAAGAGTGGGAACAACGGAACACTTTCTTGAGTATATTGGTCACTTTTGGTCTAATAGCATGTTATCGAGAGGATATAGTATGTGATGCTTTAGGATCTAATGGAAGGATTGAATTATCTAAATCTATGTTTTGTACTCAACCATCAATAAGAACAATTAGAGCTATTAAATTTCCAAATTTTAAAAGTAATATAAATCAAATTTCGTTCCAACAACACATAATTATATTAATCTAGAGCAAGAATGTATATACATCAAAACAAACAAACTGGATTACAAAATCAATAGCTAAAATAATAGAACTCGGAAGCCTGGTTTTACATGCCTCTACTCAACTGGGCCCTTCTCTTTTCTTGAAATATTTAAAGTAATAGGATGAACAAAACTAGCTTAGTAGACTTTATATCTTGACCCATCATAGATATCAATATTTAAATGAAAAGCTAAAGTTG